CCAAGGTATTTCATAACAAAAAAAGATTTAAACAATACATATCCACTAATCAGGCTCTACAGAAAGTTCTGGAAGGAAAATTCCAACCCATGGAAGTAAACTACACCCACAAAAACATAGACAATAGATAATCCCACTTTACCAATAGCCATAAGAAAGATGGAGGGAAATTCACACACAATGCCAACACCACCGACAAACCTAAAACTAACAGAGGGGAAAAGATTCTCAAACATAAAGGGTATATCTGGCTGCTTGCTGGACCTTACAGAAAGGTGTTGTGGGGGGAGTTATTATATTAGGAAGATATCTCTTGAAAGATTAGAGCCTTTTTTATCATCAATCTTGAAACAAGAAAAACATTTTAAAAGTAGGTTTCAAAAGAATTCATTAGTGATTGACTGACCAAATGCTGAATGTGAGATAAGAAGTGACAACAGCAGGTAAGCTTAATGGTAAGCAATATGTAATTTGTTAACTATCTATTGCTATGAATAAATATTAGAAAACAATATTAAAAAAGAAAATATTTCACAGGTTTATGACAATAATGAAAAGTTATGAATTGGAACTACATGCAGAAGAAAATGAGGAAGGAGGGAGGGAGGAAGGAAGGGAGGGAAGAAAGGAAGGAGAGAGGAAAGAGAAAGAGAGAGAGAAAGGTTAATAGGTCAATGTCTCAAAAATTCAGTTGCAACCTAGTTACCTGGATTCCTTCCATCATATTCTTTCTTGTAGAATTTTTATGAGTTCACAGGTTGAGGACAAAGCTTTTGAAGCACAAGCTATTTATGGATATCCCACTTCCAAACAATAACAAGTGCTACAAGGAATGCTTAGAGTAAATTGAGAAAACGTGGAAGTGAATGGCTTAATTTCTATTGTGGATGGCTTTATGCTTACTCTTCCAGTATTATTTACTACAATGTATATATTATTTTTATTTTATAATCTACTATGAAACTACATGAATAGGAAATGGCAGAAAGTGGTAGAGATGCCAGGAATGGTTATGTGGTGATTGAGTGTTGCTGACTCCACTGTTGGTATGGTCCCCATGCATGAGACTCCTGTGTTAGTTCATGGATAGCAATTTTTTGAGTCACTTTTCTCTAGTAAATTTTCTTCCAGAAAACAACGATAAAAACTGTGAAGAAGAAGCACCTGATATGATTGTAGAATGAATAAGAACATTTAGCTAGGCATTTCTACAGACAAAGACACCATCCATTGATGTATTCCAATTGGTTGGTAAGTTTCTTTAGAAAGAAATGGTGTGCTCCCTAAGAAAAACAATTACCAGTCACAGGAAATTCAAATTGAGAACTTGTCAATAACATATGTTTATTTCAGCAAGCAAATTAGTGAATTGAGGATGTTTTTATCCTTCCATACCATTCTGACAACATCAAAGGAATCCAAGTCCAGAGATATTGTAGAGGTTTATCATATCTGTCTTCCTTGTAGTGTGACTTGAGAAAAAAGAAAAATGTATTAAAAATAAATTAAATGAAATTTAAAGTAAACCAAATAGGCCTTGTTGGGCAGGGAGTGAAAAGACTTTATGGTATAGCCTAAGTTGATGTTGAGTAAAGAATTCGGAAGAGCAAGGTAGAAGACAATTGTCAGTAAATCTGAGAAATACAATGCTTGTAGTCTAACATTTTTCTATACTGGTTTTAAAAATCTGAAAGTAGTACATTCATTGATATTTTATGGACTTGGGGAGGATAATCATTATAGCAAATTCATAAAAATGGATAATAGTATCTATTGTATTTAATTTAGGTAAATGTGAAACAGTAGAACTTTCTATTAATTTTCAAGCATCTTCAGTGTTATTTATTCCTACTCCCTCACTTTCATTATGTATGGCCTGTACCACCCTCCACAATTAAAGTCTCCCTTCAGCTCATATCACCTATACCTAGAATATTGGTCCAAGGACCAGGAGCCTCCCAAAGCAAAACATAATATTGCTCTTATTTTGGATGCCTTACTTACTTTGTATGTTTAGGTGAAGTCTCCATTTCCTAAGAAACTACACACTTTTTACATAGGACTCAGTAGAATCAAGATGGGTTTTATGAGGAATTCTCATCCCTGAGAGCTAGCTTTCTATCAATAGTTGCTAAATAAGCTGCAAAGGAAAAAAAAAACAATAAATATTCCTTCCCAAATGTGATGTCTACAAATCAAAAGAATGATCAGTACAAAAAGATATTTCTAAAACTGCAATAATGACATGTCTATCTTTGCAGTAACCAGATAATGTCTAAATGAGCTCAGGCCTTGTCAATAGGAGGGAAATAATGTCTGTACTAGCACCATAGCTGACTGCCCTTTACAGTTGGTCCTGTATCTAAGAGCAAAACATAATAATACCTATTTTTTAAACCAATATAATTACTAATTGTATTATATATACTTTTCCTTATACCTACAGTTAGGTATAGCAATTACTCCTTATCAAAGAAGGTTTTTTTGTTTTCAGGGTTTTTTTTGTTTGTTTGTTTGCCTCTGCCCAAGATCATTATAGAAAGCCATAACTGATAAGAAAAAAAAAAAAAAAAAAAAAAAACTGGAGGAGATAGCAGAAAGATAATTAGAAGAACCATGAGTTTGTATTTTTTTAAAGATATAACAAGAAATCTACACCAATGTAATCTCAATAATAATGATGCCCAAACAAGACTTGCAGAATTCCAATATGAGTTGACACACAAAAGTACATGACATAAATTTCAATGGACTCTAATTCTAGTTGAAGAACTCTTTTAACTTAATCACTACTAAGAGGAAGAATTATCTTCTTTAGGGATGAGCCACATAATTGTTTTTCTAATAGGTTTGTGTGTGTGTGTGTGTGTGTGTGTGTGTGTGTGTGTGTTTAACAAAAGATAATAAAAGAAAAAGAGACTATGAAAATGAAGAGATATTGGGGTACATGACAGAGGTGGGGAGAGGAGATGGGCAAATGATGCCATTGTATTTTTTTCTTTTCTTTTTACTTAAATTAGAAACAATCTTATTTTACATATCACTCCCAGTTCCCTCTCCCTCCATCCTCCCATGCCCCCCACCAATCCCCCTCCCTTTCCCATACCCCATCCATTCCCCAGGGAGATTGAGGTCTCCCATGGGGTTCATCAGAATTTGTCATATCATTTAGGGCAGCGCCTAGGCCCTCCCCCATGTATTTAGACTAAGAGAATATCCCTCCATAGGGGACTGGGCTCCCAAAGTCCATTTTATTCTACGAATAAATACTAGTTTCACTGAAGGGGTCCCATAGATTGCCCAGGCCTCCTAACTTTCACCCATGATCAGGGGTCTTCGTTCAGTCCTATGCTGGTTCCCCTGCTGTCTGATTGGTTATGATGCCATCATATTTTAATAAAAAATAAATGCATTAAAAATTGATGATACTTGAGTATGTTGAAGTTTCATAGAATATGTATTATCAATTAGGTATAACAATCAGCTCATATTGAGTGTCAGTTTTCATAAAGTACTGAGGCTTTCTCAATTCTTAGTAGAATGGATGAATTATAGTATCACTCTTTGCTTCAATAGGATGATAAGCTTTGAATTACCTTACTTGCAACCAAACCTCAGTCAATTATGACAAATTTTATTATAGACATTCCTAGTACAGTTGATAAATTTTGTATTGCATTAGCAAAAGAAAGGTTCAAAAATTGGATTTTTAGAAATTATCTTTTTAAGAGTCAACTTTTATACCAATATTTGAAAGATTAGAATGATTACTTTTGTTTTAATACTGTGGCCAAATAATTAGGCTTTAACTTAAATGGTGAAAGTAACCCTAGCAATGGGAAACTTGGAGTCATTAAGCAAAGATTGCTACCTCGATAAACAATATCATCCAGAACACTTAGAGAAACAGTATCTATATGGGCCCACCAAAGTCTCAAAAATGAGAACTTGAATAAGGCACATTAATAATCATGTACTGTTATTTTCGTATGAGACTTAACAAGTACATCATGAGAAAAACTCAGTGCTCTACAGTAAAAATGCTACTGACACAGAAGACTTACAATAAATACTCAGGGGGCTTGCCAGAAGGGTAAAGTGCTGTGCCAGGTACTAAAAGCTCCATGCTGGTAATGAGGCAAGCCAAAACTCACTGCAGACAGACTCTCTCGTTTATGATGAGAACTCGTCTCCCAGGAGCCACTGTGATAGGAACAGACACAAAACTCGTTGTACAACATGATAGGCAAAGAATAAAGACACCATGCCAAATTAGCAAGCCACACTGGCCTTTTAAGAATTAAATTTGTAGAAATTAGGATTATAAAATGTAGCATTATATTCCAAAAATAACAGAGAAATAAAGGTTAAAAAATGAGATCCTTAAAGAAAGATAACTTCATAAGAAATCCAAGTCAAAGAAAATTTCTTGAATACGCAAGTGCTAGTGAGTTGTCAAATATTAAAACTCTGTTAAAATTTTCTACAACAAAATATGCTCCTTTCAAGGAACCCAAGGCTATAAGCGCTTCCATAGAAAAGTAATTGCTGCAATGTAAACAATTACATTAGTATTTTTTGGCATTTGCAGTTCAGTCATCTCCTTTAGAGTGGGAAAAACAGAGGATATTTTTACACAAATGTATGTTCATTTCAGTCTGTCCCTCACCTCCATGTGTCTAAGATATTGGATCTAGACATGTAATATTTAACTTGCCATGCCTGTCATTATTGTCTTTTGTTTCTTTGCATTTTTAAGTTTGTGTGTAGCTGGTCTTTTGCTTTAGGATATGTTTTCTAATTTAAAAAATTCACAGAAGAAATATAATCTGTATAGTGATGCCTAATGAACACATACTCAAAAAACAACTGCCATGATGTCAAAAAAGAGTTAACTTTTATTCAAGATAAAAGAATCAATCATGTCCAAAAGATATAAAGCATAAATTTCCAAAAGAAAAAGTTTAGAACATTCATGTCAAAATCGAATGGACATGAAGTCAACAATCACGGTCATAGACAAACCGGCACTTCAAGAGCTTTAGATTAGAATCAATCTTCCGTGAATCCCTCTTGAGGCACTGAAACAGGCTATTAAATGCAAAAACACGAAGGTCTTCATCAGATGACTGCAAAGAAGCCAGTCCTTTCCAGATGGGGTACTCTTCAACTTCTCTGAATCCAGGATAAATCTAATCACCAAAAGGAAAGTAACTTATTATTCATTATATTTGCTGTTCTTTATTCATTATATTGGTAAATGAATATTTGGGGAGAAGTTATGATTGTAAATTTTCATACAAAAGCATGGAATCTAATACAATAAAGTGAGGGTAGTGGCAATGCATTTGCCACAACAATTCAGCAAACGAGACCCTTGGATATATTTCCTGCATACAGAAGATTCCAGATTATATATGTTCTTGCATATAAGACAGATAGAGAAGCAGGAAGGTGCTATTTGCCTGTAGACATGGATTTTACCAAGGGACAACGTAGGACATAGTGTCATTTTTTCATGAAGGAGCTTTAACATGCTCTCAGTATTGGTCTTCACTTGTTGTCTACACTTTCCTACTCTTGAAGGAAATCATTGTCCTTTTCTATATTTCAAATTAATCTCTTGCTTTAGAACTCATGGAATGAAAATCTCATATTTGATTAGTACTGCACCTGATGCTTTCTGGTGCAAATCATCCAGGGATTGCTGTGATACAGTGAGCTGGTGATGCTGTTAGGAGTATTTTGCACTACTACAGAAAGGTAGTTAGTTTCTTAAAGGACTATGAAGAGCATGTATTTTGTATTGAGATTCTTTAAATATGGAATAGCATATCCTAGAAAAGCATTGTGTTGCTAATAAACCATCAGAAACAAGACTTCCTAAAAGACTAGCTGACTAAATTTTGCTATATCAAATTTCTTATCATAGGACTCATCTGTTTAGTTAACAAGAAAACCAGAACAATACAAAAAGACTACAAACCTTGCCAAGTATTCTCCGAACACCTTCTTGAAGTCCCTTCATTGCTGTCCCTACAATGTTGGCTCTTGCTATGATTGCAGTAGGGGCCTCTTCCATACCACTCAGCTCAGTTACTACAAGATGCAGAGGGTCTTTCCAAGCTCCCAACATGGTGAGGATCTCTTGAAGAAGGAACATACCCTACATAACCAAAATTGAACACTTATATTAGATTTTCTGAAATACAGTAGTGCTAGTACTTCATGTGACATTTGCTCAAAAAAAGTTTCAGGAAATTATTTTGTAAATGGTACATGTTATATAAATGTAAAATTCAGCCATTAATTTGTAGTTTAATTGAATCCCACTAAATATGTCTTATTTGACTACTATTGACTACTACATTTCCTAAAAAATTTGTTTTCCTCTGATATTTTACAATCTGACCTCATGGTCAAAAGAATAATTTTTGGTTTCTTTTATTGTGCACAAAGAATGGAGAGTGAGCAGGAATTGAACAGGTGGTATAGAACCACATTCACATAAAACTCATGCCAATAATTCAGTGTCAAGTGACCCAAACCCTTTCACATAGTCTGTATTGTACAGTAAAAATACAAATTGTTCATTGAGTCACTCGTTTATTAATTTTAGATTATTTGAATAACTTACAGCAAGTATCCAATGATATAGACCTGAACTTGATATTTTTGCTTCCATCAGTCTGTATTGAAGCCAGCAGAGAAGCCAATATTTAAACATGCATAAGTAAAGAACAATTGAATTTTATTGCCTTAAATAAGATAACTGCTGAACAGACTGGAAGATGGCACAGAAATTAGAGCACTGACAGTTCTTCCAGAAGATGCAGGTTTATTTCCTAATAACCACACATTGACTCACAGACATATGTCCCTGCCCTTTTTTGGAGACCTAACACCTTCTGGTCTTCTCAAACATGAGGAACACATGTTGTACACATAAATGCATCCAGGAAAAACACATTATATAAACAAAAAACATGTTTTTTCTTTTTCAAAAAAGAGAGAGTATGGACAGGAATAATAAGAGTTTTCCCTCTCAGGGTGTGCTCACTGTCAAGATAATAGATGAAAACCACCCCTGATTAAAATGCTGCTGCACTGATGTCTGACAGGTACTCTATGGGTAATGAGTAGAAAGGATACAATTCATCCCAGGTACGGGCAATGGTAGCAGTTTCTCTGAATGAACACTGTATAGATTCTACTGTAATATTACCCAGCTTTTAATTTTACTTGTAATTTATGATCTGTGTACCTCAGATTGTTCTTTGATTGCTCCCCCCTCCCTTCATTCTTCAGCATGTGTGATTGTAACCACTCTGACCAACATCAAGACCAAGCCAGTGAACTGCTCAATTCTTTAGGTTAAAGTGCAAGCTGAAGACTCACTTGGATGTGTTCCGTTTCCTCTTCAGGCAGCAGAATAGCAAAGTTGGAAGTATGGCAGCTGCTTTGGGCTCCATCAAGGTACCACCTCCCTGGTGTGTACTGTATGTCCTGCAACTGATGAAAAATATTTAGTTATCTTAAGTTTGGGAATGAATCATATATGACAACAATTTTAATATAGTTAGTGGTTGTATGATTTTTTTAATCTTTGTGTGTGTGTGTACAATGTATGCATGTGTGATCGTGTGTGTGTGTGTATGCTTCCATATGTCTGTGTATAAATGAGTTTCTGTATGTGTTGAGGTAGAGATGTAACAATCAGAGGATGTCAGTTGTTTTAGCTTGCTTTCCACCTTCATTGAAAGAGTCTCTTGCTGTAAACCACTGTGCAAGTTATCCTAGTTGGTCCAATAAAGTTCAGGGATTTTCCATGTCTTCCATCTTTCTGCAGAAGTACAGGGTTTATAGAGGTGTTTTTCTGTGCCTTGACTTTCAAGGATTCTTTGGAAACCTCTGGCACTTGTGCTTGTTTATCCAGTAGAGTATTTTTTAATTAGATGTGCAATTTGAAAAATAAAAACCTAAATAATAAATAAGAAAGTCAACCTAATTTTTAAACTATTGGGCATGTGATCTCATTTTTTTCCTGTCTAGCGTTTCAACTTCTTCCCCCTCTTTTCTAAACACTTTGAGATTCCCTGAAACTCTTTTATTCTTGATCTACTCAGATGCTGATGGTTTCTTTTCCCTATGAAATTTGTTCCATGATTCTATTGCATTTACCATTTAGAACAATTCAGTCACTGGCATGAATGCTCCCATTAGAAAGAAGGCAAAAGAATGTGAGATACTTACGAAATCATTTAACATTGCAGCTGTTTGGTTTTCAATTTCATAAGACAGGCTCAGGGCATAATCAAACATGTTATTGAGGGTCCCCTGGCAGGAACTATCCCAGCTGTGGCACAAAGGTACAGAGGCCACATTCTCCCACAGGACCAGGTTTGACACAAGCAACACCAGGAGTTTCCCTGCTAAATAAAAGGAGGTGTTACTTGAATCAGCCTAGTGTGTCTATAAAAATTAATCCTGTGAAGGAAAATTTGTCCTTCTCTAGGACTCTGCATGATTTGCTTTTGTACAGCCTTTTACACTGTGCACTTGTAGGTCCATAATTATCTTCGTACTGATAATTTGGAAGTGGGTGACTTTCTTCTTTTGGGATTGACCCCAGAAGTTTCTCTGAATGTTGTAAACACTAAGAGCTCATAGAATTTGTGGCTGAGCATTTCTAAGTAATTCTCTTGAAATGGTTTGATATGTGGGGAATTTATGCTTATTTCCAATACTCACACTCTGTAAATTTGTAATACTTCAACTCAATTTGGTCCTAGATGTGACAAGGACAGCACAAGTCATCTATTTGCTTCATTTTCATGCTTGATGAGAATAACCACATGACTTATAGATTTCTAACACCAAGGATGAAGAGAATCTTATCATAAAAGTAACCCCATATCTCAAATTAGATAATATGCAATAAAAACTCATGCATGAGAGTGTCACATGTAGTGAGATAGTCCTTCTGTGGCACTGACCACGCCCATTGGGGGGTGGAGCCATGGGCGGAAGTGACCTGTGGAAGGAGGCCAGAGGGGGCCAGGAAAGGCGCTCTCTTTCTGGCGTGACTCGGACAGGAGAGGATCGAGTTGAATTTCCTGGTGTTCATCTGTCTAGGTTGTAAGTTATTTCTCCCTGAATAAACATCTATTAGGCCTATTTGTTTATCCTGATCCTTATTTACCGCGATAGTCACATGTTTTCTTTATTTGTAGATCTGAATCTTTGTATTTGATAATATAACCTACAGTATCCAAGAAGATGGGGAAGTAGAAAGGAACCATAAGGGGATAGAAGAGAAAGTAGCTTTAAAAGAACATATTAGAAGATTGATGCTATGAAGGGGTATATGAAAAAATATATCTAACTTTAACAAGGAGGAGAAAATGGAAATATAGAGGTAAAAAGACAGTGGTAACATGAAGAATGTTTTTAAAAGACATATGCTAGTACATCATTTTCTAAGACACACACACATATATATGTATATTCATATATACGTATATATATATATATATATATACGTATATATGGATAGAGAGAGCAATGGAAAGAAATTGAAAGAGATGAGGGTTTAGTTACACCACATAAACAATAGTTTTCTTTCCAAGAGCTCTATCTAACAAATACCAGTGCCAGTTATATCCTTCCCTTGTTTTGTTTGAGAAACAAAAGACTTCCAGAAATATTATGATTTCCATTGCCTTGTTTTACCTTCCAGCTGAAGATATCTCATATCTTGGACTTGGAGGAAGTCCAAGTGTTATGCAAACTGTCAACACTAAACCAGAAAATGCTACTCTTGCATAGCAGTAAAACATAGGACCCACAACAAAAACTATGCTGACCAGATAGTCAAAATTCTGCAGTAGTTGTGCTTTTATCTTGAGGTAACCAACAGCAGTCTAATTAGAATATAAGTCCACTTAATGGGAGAGAATTTATGCCTAGTTTGCTAAACTGAGTCAACCACTCATTTTTTTTTTCTTTTTTGGAAATGTTATAGACACAAAAGCAGAACCTACTATACCTAATTTCCAAAACATAGTTTCTATCATGTTAGTGATTAACCTTATCTCACAAATAGACAAAAGCTCTATCACTTCATTGAAGAGGTTATTTTTCCAAAATATGGAGACTATTAAAGAGATCCACAACTGGCAAAGGTTATTGGATGAATGTGGATGCCCAACACAAACTGATATATCTTTGAATCAACCTTTAGACCCAAACTCAGTAAAAATCATAGAATGGTAGAGATAGTTTAAGGGACAAAAGCCCTAGACACTAGTTGCTAAATAGTGTCTCCTAGACATGACAAGTAAAATATTCCCATGAATTTTCAACAATTAAAGTAGCCTGAATAAGATCAGAATAATAACATTAGTTGACATTCCAATATGAAGGGAGAAAATTCCTCATAATATCACCCATAGAACCAGAATTACAAGTGGCCAGTGATTGGTGAGAGAGTAAGAATAAGTTTACTTTCAGGTACAAACTTGTGCAAAGATTGCTTAAATCCAAGTGTTCATCCCTGGTCTGTAGTTAGAGGTTTCTTGTCCTGCTTGCCAATTCCCAAATAACCACTTTGAGGATTAGTATTATTCACAAATGTTTAGCCACTGGCTCAGGCATATTACTAACTAACTGTCAATTAAATTAACCCATATTTACTAAACTGTGTGTCATCATTTGACCAGGACTTACCTACCACTAATGCTCTGGCATCTTACCCCTATGGTGGTTACATGGCATCTCTCTGACTCTGCCTTCTTTCTTTCTCTGTTCAGATTTCCTGCCTAGCTATAGTCTGCTTGACCATTGGCTATATTAGCTTATTTACCTATCAGTAAAATCAATACATATTTGCAGCATACAAAAGAACATCCCACATCACTGGACATATGAACTTATAAAAAAAGACTAAATAGACTCTGTTGTATGTTCATTTAATCATAATAATTTAAAAAAGAAAAGAACATCATTTTTGCAAAGGTAGAGTTCACAAGATTTGGAAGGTCTTAGTGATGCAGATGTGGTGTTTATATGTATTAAATTTTCAGATAAAATAGTATCACATAAATTCAAACACAGAAATCAAAACTCTGTCCCCAATGATAGGTAACAGAAGCTCTAGGAAGCTTAATTCTCCCCCTTTCCTATGCCCTATAGAGAACTACTTCAGGAAGTTTTCATGATGGCCATATTGGTTTGCTCATCAGTGTTATGATTCATCAGATAAATCTGTATTAGTAAGTTATATTCATAAATAGGGATAAAATTTCAGACACACAGTTACTTTATGAAACTATTCCTAGATTATTGCTGAAATAGAAATGGGCTTCTCAAGATGTCCCTCATAAAAGTAGGTACATTTTAAATATTTATGCACAGAAAATACCTAAAGTCACATATTCAAAATAAAATTTACTAAAAACTTGTGAATTATACTAAATACTTTATATAAAAATTAACATTAAATAATTTAAACTTTATTTCATTTCTAAAACTAATACTTTAAAAAAACTGATGTATTTAATGTAATTTTACATATAACACTTAAAAACTTATGCATATGAATTTATTTCATATTAAATTACATAATGTTAAAATTATGATAATACCATGTATAGCATGGAATTCTATAATGAATTCATAATCAGTATATGATTCAAATCTGCTATCAGTATCTACTTAGGCTTATTTGATAACTGTTATGTGATATATTTTGCTATGTTAAGGTTAAAACCCATTCTCCTTACAGATGGCGCCCACGTGGCTAATAAGAACTTCCACTTAAAATTTAACAAAAGGTTAAAAAAGGGTTTTAGAAACAAAAGAACAAAGATAAGCAAGGTTTCTTGGTAACAGCAGTTTTCTCGGTTGGACTCTGTTTTGCGAGAGACAAGCAGATATTTGCGCGGCTCCTTAAAGGGAAGGTTCCTGACTCAGCTTAAGTGGCAAAAAACCGCACAGCTTTTAAATAACTCTGCTAACAATTCATTGGTGTGTATGAGAGATGGCAATGGCAGTGACCACATCTCCAAGCCGGTAGCATGCTTTCTGGGTGGCAGCGCAGACCAAGGAGGTGAGCACATCTCTCAGTGCTGGCGGTAAAAGTACCCGCCACCATCTTTGGTAAACCGCGGCAGAAACAAAGACTTTCATTTTAACAATGTTGTTGTTTAACAGATAAAGACTCATGGCCAAAAAAAAGATAAATATTTACAGTAGAGACAGATTCACATTAAGAAAAGGTGTTAAAAGTTTACAGTGTGTTTTAAAAAAAAAATACATAGGCTTGGGAGAAAAAAAATAAAATGGTTTTAAATAGACAAAGAGGAACTGGGTGTTGTAGCACACGCCTTTAATCCCAGCACTATGGAGACAGAGGCAAGCAGATCTCTGTGATTTGCAAAGTAAACCTGGTATGCAGAGTAAATTCCAGGACAGATAAGAGTTACACAGTGAAACCCTATGTCAAAAGATAAAAAAATAAAAGTAAAATAAACAGAGTAATAAAGGCATGTAAAGATGAAAAGCTCAGAGAGAATCTGGTTACTGTATGCTATTGTGTTGTCTCTACATTGTTTGACTGCTGAGAAAATAACAACTGATAAAGGAAATGCTGCTGGATTAATTCAATTTATATATTTTAAAAATGCTTTGACTCCAAAATTTAAGTTCAAGGACAAGTTACTGGGGAAAAGGATTTCTATTTTTGTTTCTACAGAAAATGAAAAGCTGTGGATTCCTTCCAGACTAATGTGGTTTGATCAAGCCAGGCCCCCTGAAACAGAGTTCCTGGCGATCCAACATTCAAAACAGCTTGGACAAAGCAGCCTTGCAGACTACAGCCAAGATTCCCATGACAGCGCCCCCTATCAACAAAAAGTAGTTTAGAAAGAACGACGCCCCAATTCCCAAATATTGCTTATAAATGTTTGTTTTCATTTAAATGGATTTGGTTATAAATGATTAATGATCACAACCAATATCTTTTTAAAGGTAAAAAGGGAATTATGGTATAGATATGAATACTTTGTTTTGGAATGGATTTTCATTTATTGATACAATTTAAGGTCAATTTTGTGATATATATATATATATTTCTCCTCTTGTTTATGTATTGTGTTTGCATAGCTCATTTAGAAATATAATGTATAATTTAGTACAGATTTTTAGATAGATACCTTTGATAGTTAGAACTTATAGTTAAGTTAGTTAGTATTTCTAGATATACAGACATATATTTGAGATGGTTAGGCATTCTTCAAACCTTTCAAAGACCTACAGAATAT